TAAGATATTTTGGTATGTTTCAAAATGAATAAAGAGTGACATAAATTACAAAAAGAAAAAGGAAACCATATGTCAATAATTCTTAACTTTGGACCATGTCTTATAAATGATCCAAGGATCATGATGGATGAGGGACGATAGTACTTGAAAGACTAGATTATCTGAATTGACTATGCCCTATTAACTGGTGTGTGGGGTGGGATGGGGGGACTACATAATTAATTGGTCCTTTCTATCACTATAATTCACCAAAGCACATGCCAATCCCTTGCTTTTGTGGGCACAAATTTAATTGTGTTGGACCTTGGCCTTTTTCATATTTGTGCATTTCTTTAGATTTATTTTTCTAAGAATGGTTAACAAGTTTTCTACCTACTATTGGGAAAAAAAAGACTTACCTTATACCATAAAATTCTTAATGAGTATTGTCATATTATTGTTGTGTACAACCTCAACAATTAATGCAAAACAAATTTATTTCAAACACCAAAGCACAACCCCACAAGACAAAATCACCTTAATACATATTGTCTTTACCCTCTTTTCCCCCCCTCCCCCTTTACAGCTATTGTACTTTGTTTTTAAGAAATAGTAATAGTTTTATCTATCTATGTGAAAACTACAGCAAATATATGCTTTGTTTTTTTTTTTTCAAAATTAACGAGAGTTTTAGTTTTATCTGTTCACTTGGAGTTGTATCAATTCATTTTGTATATGTTATATCTAATTCACTCTGATATACTTAAAACAGTTAATACATTGATACAAAGCGAATTGAATAGTACACTGAACTATTGCTACGTTTGGTAATTAACCAAACTACCACTATGATTGATTATTAGGCTCAACGTACCGCTATTCTTGAAATTTCCTCTTTATCTATTCTACCATGTAGCTTTCTAGTTTATCAATCAATATACACAATTATAAGTTTAAATTCTATTTAAACAATTTAATTAATTAAAATAATAAAAGAGCATTGCTGATATAAAATTAAGAGTTCATAAGTTTTATATATAGTCATGTCATCTAAACAATATATACAAATATTAAAATAAGACATGTTATCTGCTAGCTACGATAGATAAAAATGACATAATAGTGTAAAAAGAGTATATACGGACAAGATATATTATTTATACATTCAAGTGTACATTGATTTCAGGATCTCATTCAAACATTTCTGACACTATTGTACAATAATGTGTGTGTATCTATAGGTGGAAGTGAAAGAAATAGGAGAAGAAGACACAAAAAGAAATGAAGAAATTCAAGAAGAAGGAGAGAGAAAGAAAGTGAAATTGGGTGGGGGGTGTTTGTCATGGAAGAGTTTGTGGATGAGAAGAACAAGGCAGAGAGAGAAGCATAAATCAAGAAACAACAACATTTTTCTTTGCCATATAAATGGATGTTATAAACACTAAAATTCAAAAAAATAATAATAAAAAAACATGTCCTTGGGGATAGAAAGATTCTCTTTCCATCACACCCTTTCTCTATTCTTAGATTCTAGTATATCTACCAAGGATCTATAAAACACGCATGTCTATTCTAATATCTTGTCATGAACATTATTTTTTTTTATAGAGCTTTAAATTATCTTGATTCCTTTTATTTTTATTAAATATTTTGACTAAGAACCAGATATTTGTAGTCTTCCCGAATAATTACTTCTTTATTTTTATTGGTCTACAGTAATATTGTATATATAACAATATGCCCAATGAAATTTCACAAGTGAGGTTTGGGGATGCCAGTTAGATTGTACGAGGACTTATCACTACCTCATGAAGGTAGATAGGTTGTTCTCGAAAAACCCTCGGCTCAAGTGCAACAAATTCGAAGAACACAATGAAGGAAATATAACAACTAATAAGAAAAGTTGTGCAAGGCCTACAAGAAAAGAACAATAACAAAATAGTGCAGTAACCGAAATACAATAAACAGATATAATGATGGATATCAAAAGTAAGAACTACAAGAATACGACTAGTAACGACATACACCTACAACCTAAATCCTTGAAAATCAAGACAATATTCCACTACAACCTAACTTTCAACCCTAATAGGTGACCTCCACACCCTCTTATCTAAGGTCATGTCCTCGTTAATATGAAATTGTCATGCCCTGTCGAGTCATCTCTCCCCAATGCTTTTTCGGTTTATCTCTACCTCTCCTTGTGCCTACTATATCCAACCTCTCGCACCTCCTCACATGGACATCTGCACATCTCCTCTTTACATGTCCAAATCATCTCAATTTCACTTCTTTTATCTTGTTCATCATGGATGTCACTCTGGATAACCTCATTTCTAATCTTATTACTCCTAGTATATCCATACATTCATATTAGCATCCACATTTCTGCACTAACATCCTCATAAGTGAGTAATTTTTATTTAATAATACTAAAATTTTGAGATTACAAAAATAATCTCGTTATTGTATTATTTAATCCAAGGATTGTTTTTCTATATTTTAAAAATATATATAATAATTCAATTCTTTTCTAGCCATTGATAAAAGATTAAGGGACTTGTCCTATTCAAAATGCGAAGGGGTTATCATTTCCCAAACTCAAAATGTCAAGGGGGTAAAGTGGATTTATTTAACGGAAAAGGGCCAAAAATACCCCTGTACTATTCTAAAAGGTTTAAAAATATCCCTCATCCACCTATTGGGCTAAAAATACCCCTCAGTCAATCTTTTTGGTCCACTATTACCCTTTAAACTAACAGTCTTATATTTTTTTAATTATTATTAATAGTAATTAATGCGTGACGTCTTTCTATTGGATAAAGTTTAATTCCAATTCACCAAACTTTCTTTTACCCCCACCCGACCCATATTGACACCCCTTGACCCAAACCCATATTAAGATAAAATAATTTTTTATACAGTACCAATCTTTATCAAGATCAATATGGACAGTACATTGAAGATAAGAAAAATGGACAGTACATTGAAGATAAGAAAAATATTTTAATAAATTATTCCATATTAGAAATTAAATTAATCAACATAGTACCAAACTTTACATAAATGAACAGTACATTGAAGATTTTAAAACACACCAACATACATACACATTTATACGGTAGTTGGATTGGCACATTGAAACAAGAAGATGAACCAATAAATGAGTGGCATTGAGGATCAGTAGCAGCAAGATCAAATGAAACGTGTAAATGGGATAAAATAGATTATGTGTTTAAAGCTAAAATAAATTGGGTGAAATTGATCTTGAAATCGCTTAATAAGAAAAGGGAAAGAAGAAAAATAGGATATTAGGTTTAAGGGAGAAGAGATAATTCAATCTTTTTTATTTCTAATGGATCTTGTAATTGGGTTTGGGTCAAGAGATATCAATATGGGTCAGGTGGGGGTAGGAAAAAGTTTGGTGGGTTGGAATTAAATTTTATCCAATAAAAAGACGCCACGTAATAATTAATAGTAATAATATTTAAAAAATATAAGGTTGTTAGTTTAAAGGGTAATAGTGGACCAAAAAGGTTGATTGAGGGATATTTTTAGCCCAATAGATGGATGAAGTTTTTAAACCTTTTCGAATAGTACAGAGGTATTTTTGGCCCTTTTCCGGAAATTAATGATAAATTAGAATTAGTGATTTTATAAGTGAAAAACAGTAAATTGAATGATCTTATTATATAACTTTTTTTTTATAATTGAATAACCTTATAAGATATTTTCTCCGATAAAGAAAAATTATAAGTGGAATCATGAAGAGGAAGCAACTTAAGGATATGGGGTCATATAGGGGATCTTTTATCACTTTTTTCATGTTCACTTTTGGTTTCCTTTTGCAGTATATTAGTCATGAATTGACGACAAATTGATAATGAAAATAATACAAAGTACATATCAATTTTGGTGTATAACCTAAATCCTTACAATCAATAGAGTTTCATATTCAAAACTCACTTACAAGTCAACTTGTGAATAGGGGTGTTTGATGGATTGGTTTGGATTGGATATTGATTAAATTAAAATCAAACATTTTGATCGATTTTTAAATTATTAAAATCGAGCCAAATGAATATAATATACATTTATTGATATGGTTGTTATCGATTTCAATTAAGATATTTGGTTATTAATCATACACGAAAATAAAAGGAATGATTCATTCAAAAGAAGAAAAAAAAAAGATAGCAATTCACCTAAAAGGAAATGAATTATGTACGTGCCATTTTGGATCTTATAATTCTTGTACCAGAACACCAATTATGTTTAAATTCTTGTTAGCTAATCTAATGTACTTAACAACATAAACTTATTGAAAAATGTATAAGCTAACGATATTGTTGCACATATAAAAGATGATCATAATTTATTTTTTTCATTAGAGTGATGCATTTTTAGCATAAAAAAAATCATTAAAATAATATATAATTTGTCAGTTCAGTTATTTCTTCGATTTTTTTGAACAAAACCAAAACAATTACTATCAACTTTTAGAAATGTAAAACTAAACCAAACTAAATAAAAATGGTTTTGGATCGGTTTTTATCCAATCCGTGAATATCCCTAACTTAGGATAAATTATGGATATTGATAATATTCTGCATATAAATAAATATCTCTACGAGTTGTGAACAACAAGATGTCGTTGTAGTATAGTGGTAAGTATTCCCGCCTGTCACGCGGGTGACCCGGGTTCGATCCCCGGCAGCGGCGTATATTTTGTATTTTTTTTAGAAAAATCTTCTTGGTATCTGTTTCATTGCCCGATAAAATAGACGTTAATAGTTGATAAGAAATCCTTAAAATAGAAGGGAAAGGGGATACTTGACGTTAAGATAAAAGTAGTTGGTCACGAGTTTAAGCCGCAAAAAGTAAATCAAGATAAGGTTTGCATACACGATCCAATGTGATCCTGTCCCTCCCTAGATCCTACATGTAGCGAGACAACTACTACTCCTAAAAAAGAACTGATTAACTACTGTAACAAATAAAAGTAAAGAAGTGTGATTGTCGTCATATCATCTCTGTTTCTTTTATGCTGGCTATTCTTGCATTCTCTCGGTCCTGCTTGAATGTCCAATACAAGGGTGTATAAAATAAACTACACAAGCCGAAAGGCAGGGCCATCATTGAAAAGAGGCCTTTTGACAATGCTAAGGCCTCTTTTGCAGATCCTAACACTGGATCAACAGACTTGGTATCATAACCATATAGTTTCTCCGCGAGAATTCCTACAACTGGCGCTGCAAAGGATGAAAATGAGACCTCAAAGGCGCGATCAAATGCATAAATCATGGTCCTGTGTTTTGAAGGCACAACTTCTGCAAACATGGGGCCATTTGAAGCAGTAGAATTCCAGCTGATTGTTAGCCCCATCAGGAATAATGTCACAGCAAATGTGTAGTAGCTACTCACAGACTGGGGGACAATTCGAAGAAGGAACCATGAGAATGGGATGCCCATAAAAGCACTAAATTGCGCACACATGATACGCCCTGAATGAGGGTACGTGTGAGATATTCTATCTGCAACTACGCCACCAAAAAAGGATCCTATCGCACATCCTGCAGCAAATAGACTGACTAGTGCTGCTGCACTGTTGTGATCAAAACCTGCATCATAATTTCACGTTTATATAATTGACTCAATGGACAGTCATGAACTGCAAAACATGAAATGCAGGCTACTCACCAATTAATTCAAACCACAACGTAAAAAAAACCATGGCTGTCCACGGTAAGGACCCAACCAAACCTTGCAAAACAATGAACTGAAACGTTTTCACTTTCATGACAGCTTTCATTGCTGTCCATGACTCCATCCAAATCGACATTGAATTGGTATTTCCCTTCTCTATCAATCCCTCCCTAAAATAGGATCACGAAAAGAGTTAAACGGTGTTTAACTAGAGCAAAGGAAATGAAGCTACAACAAGCAACCCATACCTGTCATTACTGTTTTTCGTATTATCATGCTCTATGTTGGCTCTTTTTCTTGGATCAACAACAAATGTAAAGACAAGAAATGCAATAAAAATACTGAAAGTTGCCATCATGACGAATGCAAAGCGCCATCCAGGAATGCCCCAGAATTTATAACCAGCCATAACAGTAGCAATAGCTCCACCTCCTATCCCACCGACAGTTCCAACAAGACTAAGAAATCCAAATCCAGTTCCTCTAGACTCATCCATATAGCTATCTGCTATAAATGACTGGAGTGCAGGTATCACAATAGCGAGTCCAAATCCATTTACGGCCCTCCAAAATCCAACCTGCATAAAATAGTTACTAGCGCTGACTGCACCAGTTGATAGGGACCAGAACAGGATACCGATTGCAAGAACAGTGGGACGGTCATAGTTTATAACTAAAATACCTGCCACTGGCGATGCAATCCCCTGGACGAAATTCCTTATGAATGTGAGATAACCAAGATCAGATGGACCAGCCTTAAATGTTTCACTGACTTCTTTGTATACAGCTGGTAGGAGATTTTCGTCAGCACGCTCCATTATAGCTGCCATGTTGATGATGATCAGGGAAAGAGAAATCCCAAATACTCTCCTTGTTCTGTAATGGATCGATAAACATTTTAAAATCGAATAAGAAGAACATATAGGTAATAAAATATAAATGCAGAATTCTTCTCTAAGTATATTTAAAGACCTAAAACTAAGAGGGATAACATTGTTTATCGCAAGTAATTTCTTATCATTTGACGATCAAAATCTTGATTACATGGATATGACATTAATAAAAGAACAAACTTTCATGCTCAGTAAACATAAATGCCTCATGATACTCTACAAGATATGCATGAAAGTTCAGAATACAAATTAACATCTAGTAGCAATGAACCTACAAAGTCTGAATTTCAAACTGCTGGACACATCACAGGCGCTGCTTCCCTTGTTAGTTGCTATGTTTTTTTCCTCAATGTTTTCTTACTCCATTGTACTTAGATTTGCTACACTTGACCCGAAGGTCTTTCGGAAACAACCTTTTTATCTCTACGAGGTACTGGTAAGGTCTGCGCACACTCTACATTCCCTAGACCCCACTTATGGGATTCCACTCACAGAAATTGAAAGTCTCTTCCTTAGCAGAAAATCCCTTTCAAACTAAAGGAAATACCAATTCTCACGGGAAATCTTAGTAGCTCAGTTGGTTAGCTACCTGAACTTTCACCTTGTTGATGAGGGTTCCATTTCTCCATCCCCTGCCCCCAAATTTACAAAAAAAAAAAAAGCAGCAATTCTCATAATTTCACATCTAATAGTAGACACCAACCCTTACATATGAAAATTAAAGCCATCAGTATTCAGTGATTAGCCTACATCTTTCCATACTACAACTTGCATAATGATATAACAAGAAACTATACAAGTCAGTTTATGACATATATGTATAACTGCATTGAAATTTTTTGTCTTCTGATCTGTTTTTATGCTACGGTTAGTTCAAATCCGCATTAAAGAAAATGTAACCAAGTTGATTACTTGACATGATTATTTAGCATTATTCGAAAACCCTTTGATCCCCGAATTCGGAGTATCCTACTTTCAAGCAATTCACAGTGTTCAACAAGCAATCGATATTCTCAGATAGTGTAATGAGTATAAAAATGAACGATCAAACAGCATGAGGAAAGTCCATAATCACTCCAAAAAATATATAAACTGTATAAATAATCAATGGTACAATTACCATTTTCAAAAATAAAGAGTGGAGCTAACCTCATGATGCTTGAGTACTTGCAGAATTTTGGATCCAAAAATTGGAGGAGGAAATCCCAAAGAAGAGGTCAACGGTCCTCTTCCCCCATTCACTCACCATTGGGTTCATAAACTTAATATCCTATTCCCAACTTGACACAAAGTTTAAGAATATAAAAAAAAAAAATCTTTAAATTTTATAGTTCTAAATTAAATATTAATATAGTATGTATAAAAAAAAAATATTATAACAAAACTAACTTTTAACGATAATAAATAGGTACATTAACAAAGAGTATTAAAATCTTTGCCGACATTAGTTAATTACCATGGATCAAATATTGTTATAGGCTTTAGTGCTAATTTCCTCTAAAAAAACATATTTTTGAACGGTTGAACTTTTACCGTTAATTAATTATGCTAAAAAAAAAAGTCATTTAAAATTGAAAGGGAGGAAGTATTTGATAAAGTCGAGTAAACGCACGTGCTTGGGTTTTGGTAGGGAACCATTTAACGTGGGAGCAGAGAAATTTCTGTAGGAAATTAAGCAAATGTGATGAGATTTATGAAGTTTAGGAAGATTGAATATTCAATATTAATCTAATCAATGAATATATACTATAGTTTAACCAATAGCAACATAACATTGCTTTGTTAATAGAAAAATTACCTATTTTATTTATTTATATATAGGAGTATTGAGTTTTGCAGGCTTGGACAATTGATGAATATATATGACAAAATTACAATGATTCAAAATGTCGTCTGTCTTGTTACGACTGACACTAGTAATATGGATAATATCATCTTATACAATAGAGGTCCTTTGATTTATTGGGTTTGTAGTTTATTTTTAATCAGTGAATTGTTTAATACATGCACGTGAATTGAGTCAAAATTATTTGATTCCAACATACTTATATGTAGCTAATGCACTAGGTCTGCTCCCACGGTGATAGTATACATACAACTTTTTTACACAATATGTGAAAAATTGCTTACACCCAATCGATGTATATATTATAAGTTTTTTTTTACGGTTATAGCACTGTAATTTAGAAATAACGAAATGTGCAAGCAATAGCCGATAAGGCTAAAATATGTGTATATTTTAAACCTCATGGAACGATACTAAATATGTTATTATTATGGTTAAGTACATACAATTTAAACTGAGATCTGAAACCCAAAACATCAGTTAATTTCACTAAATACTGACCAATCATATGTATAATCTGTAACACTGATTTTTTAAGCATGCTACAAATTAATCCCAAGCTAAGCTATTTAGGCTTTGGACCATCGGCAAATTTTGCAGATCAACCTAAGCTACGGCCCATTGAAGTAGTGTGGGCTAGCCAATTTTTAGCTTTATGATTGAAAAATAACTATCATTAAGTAAGTTTTAAATTGGAAAAATTACCTAGCTACACAATCTTTCTTTTCATATTCTCTAAAATTTCCTACCATTTCAAAACATTACAAAAATCTCTATTTTTCTCTCATTCTCTCCTTTTATAGATACATAACTCACCGCCCTCTAACCCAGCAATTTTTGTTCCTATTTCACAACTGAAATCACTCCCACGGATCAGTAGTTACCTTCATCATTCTATTTTTGAATTTCAAATATATTCCTTCTCCAATTCATCGATTTCAAGTTCCTAAAGAGGTAGAACTATTTGTTCATTGATTTCAAGTTCCTAAAAAGGTAGAACTATTTGTTCATCAAATTTTTTCTTTCTAGTTCTTGAATTATCGTTTTTAAAAAAATAAAATCTTTTTAGCTTTTTTCATCCACAATTTTCTGATACATATAGATTTTGATGATGAAAACTTTTATGAAAAATAGATATAAACAACGAAACGATGTATCTACGGTGTTTATATATCCTGCTCAATATAAATGTACTTGATACATACTACTTAATGTATCATTTATATGTATCAAGTTCTACAATGTATCTTTAATTCTATTCAAATTTAAAAGGTTATATAGACAGTACCAAATCAGTTGTGTGTTATGTATCTACAATCTTTAATGTTTGTTCAATCTTATCCAACTTAGAAGGCTATGTATATGTATATATTATCCAAAATAATCTTGATACATTAATCATAATGTTCTATAATTAGAGCAGTATGTATCAGTTCCAATAATAGGTATATGCAGTGGCGGATCCAGGAATTAAGGCCAGGGGGTTCGAAATTTCAAGAAGAAGCTCATGTGGTAATGTAAGTGCGCGGTGAGCGTAGTACCCCCGACATGCTTTTTGTAAAGGTATCTCATTGGTTGATAAAAGTTAACACCAAACTAATCAAAGATATTGAGAACAAAGCTACGTTGATAAAAAAAAATTAGTGGATCAGTTGTATTACATAAGTTAATTCCTAAAACACGTGAAAATTAAAGGATGAAAAAGAAAGCGAGATGGAGAAGAAAAATATTTACCTTAACCCGCTAAATTTATTACCTTATCGAACCACATTAAGCATTTCTTCTTACTTTTACCCTGCTCCATTGAACATTCTTAAAATTTCTTGTAATTTTTATACTTTTATTTTGTAATGTTTTACTTTATTTTGCATTTTAAAATTTTTAAAATTAGTATCCATTCAAACACATATTACTAGGAAAATTATCAAGATTCTCTAAAAGTATGTAAGTATAGATTTACTAATATTATAATGCATATTCAGAAGATAAATAAATGGCATCGTCAATTTTTTAGTTCATGTAGTTTAATTTACTAGGTTAGTCATCACTTGTTGAAAAAAAATGACGAATAAATCAAATAAGTTTAGCTTCCATCTCTCTAAAATAGAATTGAAAAAATAGAAAAGAAATTCCATGAATTCTATTAAATATATATTATTAAAAGGATATTGACGATTTTTAGTTTCTTCATTCAATTACATCTAATTTATCTTTATATATATAATTCATTATTTTTAAAGAGTTGTACATATAATTATGTTGAAATAAAATGACTAATAGATATAAGACGAATAAAAAAAAATGTGTCTAATAAATTTAAACAATAACAAATTAGAAAAAAAATGACATAAAAGAGAAAAAATAATGAAAAAGAGAAGATGATCCAAGCCCAAAAGTTGAGCCCAATTCCATGCATTAAAAAGGGTAAAAAATAAGAGAAGAGGAATTGTTGCGCATGAGATTCAAACTCACGACATAAAAGCCATTGCTGAACCCCTTATCCATTGAGCTAAAGCTTCTCACTTATTTTCAGGGGGTTCATTTTAATATATGTACACATAAATCAGAATTTAGCCCTATATATATAACGTAATTTTTTTACCGTGAACCCCCTCGACACAACCTAGGTCCGCCCCTGGGTATATGATACATAACAGTGACAATGTTGACTACTTTATTATGTATCAAATTGTAACAACAAACTAACACATAGTGGCACAATTTCGTAACCATCTTATAACATGTACAAGATACATTACAATAACCAATGATACAACTATTCACAAAAAATCGACTACACAATATCTCGAGATCACAAATAAAAAAATCGACTACACAACATCTCTCCAGCCTTTTTATGTGTTGTATCAATGTATACTAGATACATTGCAAATTTTTGCTCATATTTCTTCACCTCCAAGTACACTAACGAAGATATTCATGATGTATCTTCTTAAAAAAATTGACAATTCTGAATCAAAATTGAAAGGATCTTTGATAAACTGGGAGAAGATTTTTGAATCTCAATTTTTTTCGATAATTTTGAATCAAAACTGAAAGGATCTTCGATGAACTGAGAGAAGAATTTTGAATCTCAATTTTTTTTTGACAATTCTGAATAAAAATCGAGAGGATCTTCAAACAATTGTATAGGGATAAAGCAACACTCGTCTCTGTAATGTCTCATATCTCCAAATTTTTCTCAAATCATCGATCTCCAAGCTGCAATGGCTGATTCAACTTACCTCACTTTCTCATATTCTTGAATCTCAACAAAATAGAGATATTCATGATGTATCTACTCAATTTTCAATGATTTTGAATCGAAATTGAATTTTTTTTGAAAATTTTGGAGAAGAAATTTGAAATTTGAAATTTTTGATGTTGTTACGCTTTGGGAGAGATTGATTAGCAGTGAAAACAACGTAATTGCATGATTTATGAATTTGATATTTAATTGACGTTTCTGTTCCTTTTTAAGCACAACAGAAAATATTTTGTTCCCTTTTTTAGCGCAACAAAATGATTCTTCTTGTATCGAATTAATGTATCCGGATGGTGAATTAATGTATCCGGATGATGACTTATATATTCAGAAGGTACAAATTTTAAGGAATTATTATAATTAAAAAAAATAGGGATAAAATGTAATGTACTCTTTATACTATGTAATTTACGTAAGTTATACTTTTAAATTTGATAAGTGAAACTCTATAATAATGTTCTAGAATTTCAACTTGCAATTTCTTGATGATAACTATTTATGAATGTTATCCATCATTCAAAGTGACCCTTGCGTGCAAATGTTGGCCCAAAGTCATTCAGGACGATTATTGTACGCCAAAATAAGAAAAGCTATGTTCACAAACTTTCGATATCTTCATCTGGAAAGTTCACATAAAACTCAATATGACCTGTTTCTTTTGTAAAACATAATACGTAGGCCTTATATGTTTGTACTTAATGAAACTTTAAATCTGAATGGTTAATTAAGATAGTAAATCATTAAATATATTTATTTTCATTAAAATTTAAGCACTTAATTGATGTAAATAGGTTTTGATCATTAAGATGTAGAGCAAAGTCTTAATATTATTAAGAGGTATTCATATGTGGATAATATTCACCATCAATTTATCAGGCATCAGTCACCACCACTAAACACCTCTGCCATTACAGTCACTATTGACAACCACCATTACACATCGTCTATCATCAACCACCTATGCCATCACATCACAACCATTGCTAATTATTACTATCGGTTGCTACCACACTTTCCTCCTCCATCATTATAATTATATTCATTAGGCCATCACCTAACTTGTCTCTAGCTGTCACCAATACAGTCAATTCCTACTACCAACAAACTCCACCATCACAACTTGCAAAGC